ACAAGATAAACTTCCAGCTAGCCAAATCTTTGGGATGAAGAAAAATATAAGTTTTAAGGCATGAAGACAAGCCTCCTGTTCTTCCCAAATGCCACTGCTCACTATAGTTGGTCTCCGCTCCCCTGCCCCACTCCCTTCCATGGAGCACCACAGTCAACAACTCCTCAGATACCTTCTATTGGTGAACATTTTTTTTTACAGTGCTGTGCTCTGAATAACATACAAACAAATCTCTCTGGTCCAGAGGGATGGTATGCTTAACTGAAGCTGTTGAAGACGACTTACTCTGCAGATGTCACTAGGAACTGTTCATGTGTTTCAAAATTAAGCCTGCGATGAAAGGCTTTGCAGGATAAGGGATTGAGCTCCCAGTGTTTTCAGGATGAAGCCTGAAATTGGCAGACTTTTAGTGTTGCAAATAAAGCCAATAGCGAGAGTAGCTTTTCAAACTCTTTAACTGGGAATTGACTTTTAAAATAGATTTATTCAGCAGGACTGAGAAAGCACTGCATCACTAGCCATTTGGGACAATACTGCTTCATAAACACATATGGGATGATAACAAAATTCCAATTATTCAACTCCGAAATTTTCATCCAAAAAGCCAGTATCGTTTTGGGCTAAGTTAGAAATTTTTTATTTGTTTTTAAATTCAAAGTTAACTGTCGTCATAAAACAGGAACACGATTTTGCTTTAGATTTCCCTGGGGATCCTTGCCTTTAGCCAGCTATGCTCAAAAATAAGAGGGTACAGGAATTTTTTATTGCATGTGTGGAAACAGGCAGCAAGTAGAATTGCAAATTACAGCTGGGCAATTCTTAGCCTCGGGTCCCCCAAAAGATGCATCAAAAACTGCTGTGAAGGCAACCCACTTGCCTTTGAGAAACTGCTGAACTGCCAGTGCACCGTGCAGATACAAGCAGGCAGAATTTCTTATGAGGGACCTGCGGCCCCCACCTATATCCCTTTTTCTTCCACCAGTGTCTTTATTTTCTTTTCTAATTATCTGCTTTCTTAGGGGGTGAAGGGAAAACAATCATTACTTGGTGTCTTTTACATTTGAGATGCTTTCATGAATCCAGGATAATTGCTTCCTTTCAGACCACTAAGGTAGAAACCCTGTAACAATTAATGTAAAAGGTGAGGTTTGATTGAGTTTCCAGTGTCACAATATTGTTTTCAATAATATTGACGATGCTGAAGGTCATAATCCATTAATATCAGGGAATTTAATATCAGAGACAAGGAGATAGCTTACAGCTATCACGCCTCTGCTGGGAAATGATTGTGAAAGGTGCTTTACTGAAGAGGATTCCAGACTAACAGAAGCAATGGAACAGGCAAATGCAGCAAGTGCTCAGATATCACAGGGTTGTTCGTCCTCTTTGCTCTTCTAGCAAAGCTTTGCTGCTGCATAGAAGACAACAAGTTTGTGCATAAGTACTAGACAGGAGCCTAGGAGATGTGGATGTAATTTCATGTTACAAGGCAGGAAGCATGGCAGTAAATATTAAATCTCTTTTCCATGTCTGCATCTCTTTGCAGCAGCAATTGAAGGGATGATTGATAAAGACTTGAGTTTCTGCCTAGTAGAAATTAATCTTCTAATTACTAGTCGTCTTCTCATCAAGAAAATGCTGATTAAAGAGGCTGGGAAAAGAGCACACAAGAGGAGATCAATCTGCAGTGATAAGAAACTAAAGGTCAATATGACAAAGTGTAGAAGTCCATCTCCTAAAAATGACAATATGGTTGTTCAGCCAACAACTAAGGCATGTGACCATCATTCCCCCATTTCTGGGCTTTCCCATCATGTTTCACTGAGCTAGGTGCAGCCCCATGGACTGAATTTGACAGCTTCCCTACCCAAGAACATTTGCACCTACCTTCCAGACTTCTGAGCACAAGAGGTGCCTTTTTTTTTTTTTTTGCCTCTCTTCATTCAGGAAGGAGTTAAGAGTGTGGCATCTAACAAAAACCTATCTAATAGCCCTTTTTTCTCCTTTGTCATATTTTTATGCTTCTTAATCAAGCAAGGGAAAAAAACCTCAAACCTCCTCTGAGTCTGAAAGATAAATTACTGCTTTAAATGTACAGAGCAGTGTCTGCCTTGAAATGAACATCCAAGGCAATTGCTGTGTTTTAAAAGACCCCTAGGTTGCAGGCTTAATATGAAGCAGTTCTCAGCAGAATGTATTTTACTGGCTTTCCAAATAACAGTCTAACCATAAGTATAGATCTTCTGGATATTCTCAGTGTAAAAGATCAATTACAGAACAGGCAGCTTGATGTTTGCAATCTGTCTTTTAGTAAACATTTCTCTTTCTCCTCCTCCGTTGGAAAATTCCTGCTGGGTTCTGAATGGCGGATACCTTGAGGAGCTTTCATGTTGGTAAAATAAAACAGACGTAACTTTTTTCTTTTTGCTTCCACTGATAAGGATGTTCTAGCAAAATCAGCCCTAGCCCTTCTTCCTTAATGCATTCCCCAGCCAGCTTACAATAGTTATTTGACTCCTGAAAGTCAATATTGCCATGAAAAGAGGGTAGAAACACGACACCCATTTTAGCAGTGATCAGGAAGAGATATCATATATGACTGAGGTCTGTATGTTATCCAACTTAAAATATCTGATGATGTTTTGGGGCCCTTTTGCCATTAAATTCAGTTTTCCACTGTTGCAGGCATCACTTTATATAATACACTTCAGACTCCACCTCACAGGAAGTGCAGCTTTTTGCTCTCATTCCTCCTACTGGAACACTGCTTAAAAACTTGATTATTTTGATAGCTAGGAACATTCTCAAATATTGACTCTCAGTGTATTCATAGGCAGTACACACTCATTTGCTTTTGGGCCAATATTATTCTCTAGTTTAAACATACCTCTTCTTTCCCTGATCTTCATCCCTCTGATTCATTCATGTATTGACACCAGTCCCAAGGCCTGGCCTTTTCTCCCTTTTTTGCCTTGTTCTGATAGAATGAGTTGTAAGCATTTGGAAGTACAAAATTCAAACTGCTTTCCTAGAAAGGTTGAAAAGGTGGTCGTGGGAGTTAATCTGCAGCAGCTGTTGTGCTATACAATGGGAATTTCTGTCTTAATGATTGTTCTACCTGAACACGAGGAGGAACTTCTTTACTGTGCGACCTGGAAGACGTTGCCTGGAGAGGTTGTGGAGTCTCCCTCACTGGAGATATTCAAGAACCATCTGGACACAATCCTGTGCCATGTGCTCTGGCATGACCCTGCTTGAGCAGGGAGGTTGGACGAGATGACCCACTGTGATCCCTTCCAACCTGACCCATTCTGCGATTCTGTAAATATGATGAAGCCTAGAAGAAGTATCTTAAGGTCAGGCAGTCCTCAAGATTCATAAGTCCTACAATTGTCAAATAATGAACTCCTGAGCTACATCTCCATCAGCTATGCCCTTCCAGTGTGTGTGTGTGTGAGAGAGAGAGAGACTTGGGCATACACACTGGCAGCGCATGATTATTTAATACTCAACTGATAAAATCCAGGCACTCATCTCCTCGGTCATTTCCAGATGATTCATAGATTTACTCTGTTGTTAGGCTGAATCCCATGGCACAAGCTTCTACATACTGTGTTAAGGTGATGATTTACATTCTGCTTTATTGCAATGGCCCCTTAAAACTTCAGCACTTGATCACAGATGAGAGAATTTGCTTAATGGGATTAATACACAACAGTACCATTGACTGGTTCAGTGCACCATCTTCTTCCTGACCAGAAACTCGCAGCTCCAGAGACACTCCATGCTTGCCAAATGGAACGTACTCACTCACTTTCAGAGCAAAAGGAATGTTTTGCAATCCCAAACCAAGTGAAAATTGTGACTGGGCCATCACGAGTCCAACCCTTGTGAAGTACCATTGGAATAACCTGAATTTTGTTTATCTGAATCACAAGTCAAATCAGGAAAGGCACATTTTAGGAAGCCTAACTTTGACAAATGTAATGTTTCCTTACTTGAGGGTAAGCACGATACAGGTGTGATCCCACAGATAACACCCTACAAAGTGCACACCATGCTGTGGGTCCAGTCAGCTGGTTTATCCCACAGCACAGACTCTGCAAGGGTTCCCACCAGGCTGAGCTCAAATAGAACACCTCGTTATGACCAAGATCCACCAACAGTCTTTAGGTGATGCTGAGAGACTTTTCCTTCTTCTGGAAAATACTTAAAATCATCTAGGATCATCCCCAGACTGTTCCATTCTCCTGGATGGACAAGTGTTTAAGATGTGACATTTGTGTTTTAGTATAGAGAGACAAATTTAATGGTTGGGATGAAAGTCAGAAACATGGTTCATAAGGACAAGGAAAGAATAAAATTAACATCTTTTGCTTTGAAAGCATGCCTTCTTTTTTCCCCCAATTCCCATTCTCAAGGATATTTGGATCATTTTTACTCATGAGGAAGGAAGCAGATCCAGAATATTTCCTCTAGAAAAATGAATATTCCTTTTCTAATAATACTTAACACTGGAGAAGTATCTCCATAACTTAATGCATTCCAATTCTACAAGAAAAAACGCTAAAGACAGCACACTGAAATCACAAAAAATAAAGAATAATCTGTGATTTCTTGCCTGAGATCATTCTGTTGCTTTCCCCAGTACAACCACAAAAAAAAGCAGCTATTTGATTTCTATGTCACACACTGGCTGTTTGTCAGCAGGAAAAATTCAGAGTACTAAAAAATGCTTACTGCTTTGAGAGCAATAATAAAATGTGTGCTTGCCTTCAGATTAGCTATCACTGTTTTTTCCTGCAGAGACTAAGAGAAATATAGAGGTGAAATTCCATGTTGTTATGTATAAAATACTCTTTAAAGAAGTGCATGGGGAGTTAACTGTATTGATATTAATACGCCTCATGTAGCTAAATCCCTGCTCACTACTTATAAAACATAAAAGATATGAAATTTAGAATCTTGATCATAAAACAAATTAAATCAACACAGTCAACTTCAGAGAGCACGAATATATTTCATTTCATTAGAAAATAATAAGCCATGCTGGCATTTGGACAGCAATGAAGACTGCTTGCTAGAATGTTTCTTTTTCACAGCAGAGCATTTTATTCTTCTATCATTATCAGCATGGCAAGATCTCCCCAGTACAATGGTTCTCACACCAGCAGGATTCTCTTTTATTTCCTTTGTGGATGGTGGGAAGCCTGCCATGATTTCATTGTATCTCCAACGCAGTTGTAAAAATGTATTAAAATAAAAGACATTCTATTCTGGAATATTTCTCAGCCTAAGGAGAGAAACAGGACCAAGGTCAGAAGGGTAAGCAAGGCCACTGGAAGAGAAATTAGTGGGTCAAGGTGTTGTAATAAATCAGCTTATAAGTGGTGAGAAACCCCATGCTTTCTAAGCCTGAATCAGATGACCTGGTTGTTAGACCAGGAGTCAGGAGCTGACAGCATGGTGGCATCAGAAGGTACAGGGGCTGAACCTGATACAGAGTCACTGCAAAATGGGAATGGCTCTGTCTTGAGATACAGCTGAGAGACCAAGGGAACCTAGCAGCCCCTGCCTGCCGGGGGAACACGACACTCAGCTGCCCAGTGGCAGCTTGCTTTCACAAGGAAGAAGATCTCACATCTCCAAAACATCTATTAGCACACTGAACTTCTGATTAAGAAAATTAAAATACAGTTTGGCAAGCAATGCTTGAAAACCTTCCAACCTCTGAGCCAGACCACGCTGACTATCTCACATAACTGGAAGTCAACAAACCTGAAGGGCCAGCAAGGAGATTGTGCAGCTGGGAGGAAATATTCAGAGAAGACTCTAAGCCTGAGCTTTAAGAAACCTTTTTAAAGAAAGCTTTCAGAAACCTTTCTATTCTCCATCCATACCTCCTGCACTTCTCACAGATGCAGAGCTACAGAGGTGATCTCTCAGGCACCGTGTACTCTCAGAGTTACCATTATTTACTCCACTTCTGAAGTGTCCACTCTTAGGCATTTCTCATCCCACTATTCTTTTACATTCACCTCAATCCTTACCTAAGCTCTTACTTATCTGAAGTACACCATGTAGCTTGGTTTCAATATTGTATGTTCTTCATTGTGCATTTTTATTTATGTTTCTACTGATGAATTTTCATCAGACAAGTGCTTGTTAAGGGCTTAATTATACCCCAGTGTCAAACCAAAGTGACAGCACTGGTCACAGTATACCTACAGTGGATTAAATCCCCTGCAAGAAGTTAAATCGCTTTCCCTTTCCACTGCTTTGACTGCTCATTTGTGAAATGACTGCAAAATGCTGACTAACTTCTCCATTCTGTTTCCCTCTAGTGACTAGGTGAATATGGCCAGTGGCCATCTCAAAAAATAGGAAAATGGGAGGCTGAAGTTCATTTCCAGGCTAAGAAGACCTGAGATGAAAATGACTCTGGTCCTGAATGTTTTCCCTGGCACATTTTTGCATGCTCAGTGGCACAGCAGTTGTCCTTCTTTCATAACATGCACAAAGAACGTATTGGTATTACAGATGAAACACCTTTTATGTGGCTATAAATAACAGAAAACCTTAATCTGTAAAGAAAGGTCCTTTAAAACCCTCTACATAGCAAACTAGAATTTACCTTTTTTTAAAGCTTGATACATTCCCCTGTTTGCTCACCACATTAGAAGCAACAATGGACAGCTGCAAAAGGGGGCCCTCCTCACCATCACATTCTCTTCACCTTCTGCTTCCTAGGAGAAGCTTAGAGTTTGCTCTAAAGGTGATGTTGATTTCCTTGTATGTGCCTCATTCTTAGATATAGAATGTACCGTAATGTCTCTTCACACACAAATATTCCCCCTAAAAGAAGTAATAATTAAGCAGCACAATGTTATGCACCCTTTTACCATCATTTCTTCCCCTCTAACACAGTGGAACAGTCAACACTGTCTGCTGTGTGCAAGGTGAACCAGAGAGGGACTGGCACTCCTTTGCTGCCTCGGGAACCTTCTTGCTGGATCTCAGAGCCTTCCCATACAGCCTGACACTGGGCTATTCACCTGCTGCATGTCAGAAGGTGAACAGGAGCAGGGAAGCAACTCAGAAAATGATCCATGCTTCCACTTCTAAACAATGCTCAACAAAAGAGAGAGGAGGGAGTGAAAATGAGACCTTGTGTAAAGTTGGTCGCTCAACTCAAGTTGCCATCCATTGGATGGATACACTGCTGATCCACCAACTGTAGGCTCATTTTTTTTTTATTAATGCAAGGGAAATTATCTGCATGCACACACATGCACACACACACACACACATGTCTCATCTGGTCTACTGCCCAGGAAACACACCAGCCAGTCACTCCCAGGAGCCTTGGATCAGGTATCAATAAATGTGTGATGAATGCTAATGCTCCCAAAAACTATCACCAGTCCTGATACCTGCATGGGAACCAGAGCACAGTGTTCAGCCACATGCTTTGACTCCACACGTCCTCGAGAACAAACCAAATTGTATGAAGTTGCCTAGTCACAAGTGGAACCTCCTTATTAAAAGTTTAGCATGGTAAATGGTCTCAGAGGACAATCAGCCAGCATGTACCTGAAAAAAACAAAAGGGACAAACCCAGAGCAGAAGGGACATTTTGACCTGTCTGTTAATAACTGGCAGGTGTAATCAGCAAGGATCACTCTCTGAAGCTTCTCACTCTAGAAAACAAATCTGGCAGGCCAGAGGGATTGCCAATATTTTCTTCAGTGCTGTGATCAAAGGCTGTTCTGAACTTCTGTAAAGCCTTATCCTGATGGAGTGAGTGTCAGCTTAGCAGGTTTCATTTCGATGCCACTGGCTGGAGAGATTTCTAGGAACTGTAGCCCCAGGGTCTGTAAAATACATACAGTACATCTTCAGATGGCATGATAAAGTTGTTTGCCATTTCACGACTTTTTTTGACCATTTCTCAAGCTGTCCTTGGCTTTTATATATACAGGATAAAGTAAACTTGCCTGTCTTGCAACTTTGTCTGCCCAGCAGCCCCATTTCCAGATCCACATGCCTGCACCTTCCCTTGAGCACAGTGAACCCCTAGGGAGAGTGGGAGAGTTACCTTTGCCATGTCCATCAAACCAACTAGGTTAAAGCACTCACCTGTCAAATGCAGGATGGAACATGAAATGTAAGGAGGACTCATTCCCATCATTGTTGTCTCAGTAGCATCACGAGATTCAGGACTCCGGGCTCCCAGACAGACATTCCTCCTCCACTCTTCACCACGCTCTGCTGCAGCAAGGCAAGTGCTTCTGGGAACATGCTGGGGACTGGATCCCAGCTGAAAGTAGCCCATCAAAAATAGCAATTTTTAAACTGAATCATTTTCCAAATCACAGTCTAAAATTAATTCCCTTCCTGGCAAGCTCCCTGCAGCTCATCGGTACACAGGCATGCATGGACTTGGAGGATGCAGATTTCTCAGGAGCTGCACCAATCCCATTCCATAGGTTTCTGCATCCATCCCTCCCCTCTGCACTCTAAACCTCAGCTACAGAATACAGGGGCCACCTCTCTCACCTCAACAGAGAGGTTTACAAAGAGCTTGTCCTCTTTCCTCCAAATTCTTGTCAAGAGAAATGACATGTTGCAGAACTGCCTAACTGGCCATTCAGTCCTTTCAAGAATTCAGCTGTTCACTTGGAGAGCTGAAGAATGCTGATGTCTTCTGAAAGGCCAGGTTCCTGTTATGCTGAACGAGGTGAGATCCAAAAAAAAAACCGAGAAGGTAACTGGTTTTTTGCCTAATAGTCTACACGAACTCAACAGTGAGGTGTGCATTCAGAAATTATCCTTTGTAGGGTCTCAGGAATACTACAGAGCTGCATCACCCTCAGCTGTAGAATAGTAGCTTTCCATTATTAAAATGTATTGAAAATCCTTTGCATGCCAAAACACTGACTGAGATTTTCCCGCACAAAGCAAGAATAGAAAACAAATAAGCACAACTAATGCAGAAAGAGCATAAGCCACCAGAATGGAAGGTTTTCCCATAAAATACAAAATTTCATACCACCAAAGACTGAGAGGAAAAGAAGTCATCTGAATACAGAACTACCTGCACAAGATGCAGGGTGCCTCCAGCTTCCGTTGACATTACAGGCAAGTGAGAACATATTAATGTGATCAGGATGCTCAGAGCATTATACGGCATCAGGCCTTTGGAAATTGGCTATTCATCACATTTAAATTGAATGTAATTGCCAGTGCTTATTAGATCATTCTCTGAGTGAGAGTAGTGAAAGTGAGAAAGTGCAGTTAGATGACTGGGCCTCAGGAAAAATTAAAAAAAAAAAAAAAAGACATTGCATAACTATTCATAAATTAGCAGGAAAAATGCAGGAATCTCTGATTTAAACAGCAAATGTTTTCTGTTTCTCTTAAACATGCAGAAATACTCTCCTAGTAAAAAACCCACCTATTTGGTTAACAGTACTCCCGTTTCGACAGTTTAGCATCCCCTGGCAGTGAGAACTAGCAAATCAAAACCTGCACATGGCTAACTCCTACCTCTGACCCTGACCTGATTTTGAGTTTGGGAGTACAAGATATGGTTGCCAAAGGATTCTCAAGTTCATCTCACCAGCTTCTTCAGCTCTGCTCTCATGAAAGCCAGAGTGCTACTGACAGAGCAACTAGGGCTTACACAGCCCAGCTACCTGACAAGAGTTTCATCCCAAGACTCCAGATGGACCATCTGCTTGTCAATCCATAAGATGTCTTGGTTTTCAACCCATCTGTCTGCAACAGGTAAATCATGGCTTCAAGACCAGTTACAAGCCTGCCTTTTTCTCTTTCCCCTTCCCAAAAAGGTCACCCTAATTCAGAGGGGAGACACAAGAATACAAAAGGCCATTTGGGTCACAACACTGGTCTTTTGCTTCAAAATCTACCAAAGTGTCCTGAGAGGGTGAGAAGACATTAGTAACATCTAAGGTTCCATGGAAACACACATTCTCCCCCTAATACTTTGCAGTTAGTATACTTTTCACTGTCCCAATCTGTACCTAAGTAGGGTACTGGGCAGGTCTCACCCTCTATCCCAAAGTATCCAGGCTTCTACCTTAAAAAACAGGCATATTCACTTCTGTTATGGATTGTGACCGAAACCCTTGCTCACAATGCTACCCAGGCCCTGATTGCATAGACTACCAACTACCTCTTCCGTTTCTTTTAATTACAGAGTAATAACAAAGAGACTGTCCCCTAAATCCAGTAGGAGGTACAAGTGAAGAAGAGGGCAATGTCATTGCCCATGAAGTTTGTTGAGCACCCAGGCTAACCATAAGGCCACTCATTGAAAAGTAATTTCTTTGGCAGATATTACAGATAAAAACTACTTTATACAGCTGATACTGTGACTTATAAAGAGCAACATAAGAACATCTGCACGTTAATTCCACCAGTACCAGTTACAAATCTATTTGTCTTTGGTCACTGTCAAAGTAGAAAACAAGCTGTACCTTTCAGGTCAGGGACTGTATGGCATGTTTACATTCAAACTGCATGAGACACTTCCAAATAAATACTTGGGACATTTCCATGGCAATATAGCGGTAAAAAGCTCCTAAATTATGTACTGGATATTTGTTTCTCAGAAGATATTTGCTGCAAAGTCAGTGAGGACATGTATGTGCAAAAGCTTGTCTTGGAATCAAGAATACAACTGTGGAGGTCTTGGTATCCCTGAAGTCAAAAAATGTGGTTGCTTGTAAAATCACTTAGTCAAACCGTGGTTGAGTATTTAAGGATTCTACCCCCACAAAAAAAAAAAAGATAACTATTCCCTTGAAAGGAATAGCAGTAACTGGGCTGTTTCAGATTTAAAATACCATGTTAAATTTTATTCTTTAATAATGAGGTGGGATGTTTAGTATTCCAACCTATTTTCAGACAACAGTTTAATTAAACATTTAATGAATGCATCTCATTTCTTTGCACAAGCTTCACTCTAATCAACTGAGATAATAATGTAAACATCACTTTTGGATTATTAAAATAATTCCTTTCACAAACACTGACCTCCTGACAAACAAAATGGCTGGTGCCATCTATACAATATGCCCAGAGTGCAGGGGCTCAATTGGAGCATAAAACCCAATTTACAGTTGACCATCAGCTTTTAAAAAAATCCTAGGCAAATGGTTTTAAACACAGTGATGTTTTCACCAAATCCCTCGAGATTTGATTCCATTAATCAAGAAAATTTATAAAAACATAATTCATTTAACCATATAACTGCCTTAAGAGAGTTGCCCAAGTAGGGATGCAGCAGCAGCTTCAGGATGTTTCCTCAAACAAATCCTAGTATTGGATCAGAGCAACCAAAACCATGACCTTCTTTTAAGCCACAGTCCTGCAGCTCTGGGGGATTTGTATACAGCTAATGGAGCTTTTCCAGGAGTTAGTTACTTTGGAAAGGACCATACATTTTCAGTGGGACTTTAATGCAAAAAAATTGACTTTTTTCCCCTAGCTTTATAACCAAAAAAATCTGAAGTATTTTTGAAAAATGGTGACAAATTTTCAAGACTCCAAGTAAAAAAATCTTAGTGAAATGAGTTGTCAAAACATTTTGAAAATCTGTCAACAGCCAGAATTCTTAGAAACCATGATTCGGTGATGCTTGAAATATTGTCTTGTCCATGCTGAAGCAGCTAAACCACATTCCTTGCTGCTTCAGCTTAGTTTTTTTTTTCTTCATGGAAAGTTACTGGTATGCTTTCCTATCCATTATGTGATTCCTCAAGCTAATCAGCATCCCACCAGCATCATCCTTTCCCAGGCGGGACATCTCCAGAGAGGCCACCACAGAGTCAGTCGGCTTCGACTGTTTGGAAAAGACTCAGCCCTGTCACCTAAAGAAACAGGCAACTCTTCATCCCCATCTATGGCCCTGCCATCACCCAAGAAGGGACAATGAACAGCACGATGAGAATATGAGTTACACAAACTTTGCCAACCGGCTTCTCACTAAAATCATCACTGACCTTTCACAGTAGGTAAAATTGCTGAGGACTCCAGAGAACTGGACTCTCCTTTTTCAATGTTTCCAACAGGAAAAATATAAAAGAACAACAACAACAAAAACCCAACCAACCAAGCAGCCAGTCTCATTTCCCCTGCAAACACAAAAATACCAGGAATCCAAAGCCCAATATCCATCTACAGCATCAAAATTCCTGCATATTCAGGTAAATTAGCTTAGTTTTACATAATCTAGCACAGTGGATTGCATGTAATCATTCCTGGATTACCAGAGTGGAAATTATTTCTAACTATAGACAATGTCATTAAATGGTCCATGTCTGACCTATTATATTAAGCCCTTGATGATCCATGAGAGACTTTCCACTCATTT